CTCAGGCATGAAAATGTACCGCTCAAACACTATACTTTTCCGCTCACACTGAAAAAAAATTAGAGGGAACATTGGGTGCTACTATCCTTGGCCTGTGGCTTGGTATTACCCCTCTGTGACTCACTGGGGGCCTTGGGAGAGGGCTCCGTGGTGGATGCTTCTGGGGCCGGCTTGGGCTTGCAGGTCCCAGCAGAAGGCGTCTCGTTGGTGGATAGAGGCATTTGTGGCTCGGCGCAGGAGAAGAGGCCATAGCCCATACTCACGACTCGTTGAACTTCAAATTGGCCGCTGGAGATTTTCATGCCAAAATAAAATGGCCACCGAGGCTACAGAGCCTATGGGCCAGGCGCCATGAGGTAGCCAAGATCGCAAGGTGAGGGCGACGAAGGCCCTGCGAGGAGTCTGCGGAGGCTGAGAGGACCAGCGGCGGCGTTCTGATGGGGTGGGAGCGCTGAGGAGTGGCGGTGGCATGCAGCGGCGCTTCCTGGTGGCTTCTCTGGGCTGCTGGCAGTTGTTGGCGGCTTTTGGCAGCAGCTGGAGTGGCTGTGGCGTGAGGGGAGCTGCATAGCCCAGGAGAGGTAGCACTTCTGGTTTGCTCGTAGGACCATTTTTTGCCCTCCAGACCGTGAAAAAAAGCCCTACAAGCAAACCAGAAGTCTGTTCCTGAACTTCTGGTTTGCCTGTAGGGCTGGTTTTTCATGCTCTGGAGACCGAAAAACAGCCACAAAAGGGCAACGCTATTTGTGCCTTAACAAATGACACCTGTGGCACGTGTGCCATAGGTTCAACATCACAGGGCTATGGCAATTCCTGCAGCCTGAAACAGCTGATTATCGGGAGGCCCGTGCTTAAACTGAAATTGAAAGTGAAACTTGCTGTTTGCTGCAAGGCAAATTGCTGGGAGGCAGAGGCAGATTTTTTATCTTCTAATCAGGCTAAACTGAAACAGGCTGTTTGCTGTTTGCTGCAAGGAGGTAAGTCAATAACTATAAATGCCAATAGACTGTTCAAATTGTTAGACTCATTTTTTAAAGACTGCTTTATTATTGTTCTAGACAACTTAACAAAATGAATATGCTTTTTAAAATAAATACTTGATCTGAAGAGGCCCAATGCTATTGTATCTTCTTTTAAATAGCAGAGAATAATGTGTATTTCCAAAAAGCCACATCAATTTTAACAGTATCTGTAAAAGTATAGTCTGAAATGTAACACCACAAACAGTGTATATCTTCTGTACTGTTTGCTATTTGCTGCAAGAAGGCAAATTACTGTGAGGCAGAGACAGATTTCTCCCCCTGTTTTCCTACCCAAAAACTAGGTGCGTCTTATACTTTGGAGCGTCTTATACTCTAAAAAATACGGTATTTATAAAAATAATAAAAGTGAGACAAAACAAACAAATATGAAAGAGTGACCTTGAGCTAATCTTGCCTTCCAACTCTTTAAGATTCTTATTTTCGCGAGCACTAGACAACTCATTATTGACAATATCACTTTGTTCATGGCAGCTGTTTTCAGTTCATAAGAAGTCTAACTGAATTTTACTTATACTTTCTATTTATCTCAATATTTAAAATGGCTAGTATCAGTTAAAATATGAAATAAAGATGCAAAATATAAAAATAGTAGTGATGAAAATAATATTTAAATTATTTACAATTTGCTATTAGTTTGTAACTAGTGTTTTGGATGTACCAGAAATCCCAGTAATTAGCAGTTAGGATCTGAAGATGCAGAAAACATACCCTTTGCACGTGGATGCCTTGTAAAGCTGCTATTCTGCATGGTATCGACAGATTGTCATCATGGCCTAATCCAAGCTGACCATTACCATTATAACCCCAAACATAAACCTAAAAGGGAGATAAATCTAGTTAGTATGTGGGCATATATGCCACATAAGCAATATATATGTGCATACACACACACACACACACAAACACACACACAGATAATTCAATAGAATTGATCTGTAAATTAGAGTAATTTTATGTATGATTTTACCCTACATATTTTACTCTTCATTTATGTAAAACAGTAACAATATTGTCTTCTATGGAGATGTTAAAATACCTGAGATCAAGTTAGCATTAAAACACCTGTCCTTTCTTAACCAGGGGATGATAAATTGTCTCATGCTCAGGGAAATCTCAACTGATTCCAAGGTGGCAAACAGCTTGAATAATTTTATCTTTAAATACTCCCTTTCAACTCCAACACTGCATCAGTGAAAATGGCAGCTTGATAGTTTTTCTTGATTTCCCTTCCCATTATCTCTTGTGTCCTTCAGTTAAGAGTGATGGGCCATGAGAATCTTAGGAAAAGCGGTGTCATTTGTCAATTACTCTTTTAAAAAACAAACAAACCCACAAGGAAGAACATAAAGGCAATCATAGCATAATAAAATACATAAATATATAAGTCAATAGCTGTTTAAAAGCTCCAGATAGCAAATTATCTTTGCTAGCTTCCCTAAGAACAGTCTATCTTTAAAGGAGGCAGCCCATGTCTACAAACTACTTTGGTCTTCATGATGTTCAGAGGACAGGAGCTCATGAAAATCTCAATGAGAAGTTTGAGTCAGAAGAATAAAATTGCTGCATGACTGCAAGACCTCTTTTAAGTTTAAGAAAGTATTAAACTGAATGATGAATTAGTGGGATCTAACTTGAAACTAATTCAACATCTCTAACATCTGTATAAGTGCATTTAATAAACAATTTACTGTATTTTACACTGGTTGTCATCAAGCAAAGGCTCCCTGCCATACATTCAACAACTGAGACAGGAAGTCAGACAGACATGTAAGCAAGCATTAGTTTTCAAGAAGCACAGTGGAAGGATGAACCAAGACTATTCAAAACTATTTGTCCCATATACTCAATATGGTAAATAAAACCTGTAATATATCTATTTAATTTCCAGTCCACAACAACTTTTAGCTAATTATTCAGAACGTAACCTTCATTATTTCTATTGAATTATAACAAGATAAATGCTAACACTATCTCAATTAAAACCATCTTTCCAATTTAATATACAGATTTAGCAGCACAAAGTACATTCTCTTTATACTAATTCTTGGAAACTGCAATGATAAGGTTAAAACTTCCTAGCTGAAATCCAAAGAGACTCATGAAAGTTCAGGTATGTGTCGCAACCTAAAGGTCACTAGCCTACATTACACAAGGAGAAAAATAAGGGAGGGGGGAGGAGAGGTATTGTCCAAATGAGTTAGATAAAGGCATCTGATTTATTCTGCATTCTGGGAGTCCTTGAATAACAATGGCAATTAGGATTGCTGTTGCGATATGGTTTTAAGCGTGACAGCAAACCAAGCAATCTCTGTTGCTACTGCAACCCAAGATAAGTTCTAGGCTACATAAACAGAGGGATAGAATCAAGATCACGTGAAGTGTTAATACCACTTTTGAATGCCTTGGCCTGAGTCTCTTGAGAGTGGGCGGCATACAAACCCAATAAATGGTAAGGCCACACTTGAAATACTGCATTCAGTTTTGGTCACCACGATGTAGAAAAGATGTGGAGACTCTAGAAAGAGTGCGGAGAAGAGAATCAAAGATAATTAGGAGACTGGAGACTAAAACATATGAAGAACGGTTGCAGGAACTGGAGATGTATAGTTTAATGAAAAGAAAGACTAGGGGAGACATGATAGCAGTGTTCCAATATCTCACAGGTTGCCACAAAGAAGAGGGA